GGCCATTCCTGTTGTCCTCCCATCCGGACGTAACAGCTCTGCAAACGTCCCCCATTGAGACTCTAACGGGCAATATCCCCGGCGACCGATCAAGGTGACTCGTCATTAAGGGCACCTGCGGCGTCATCCAATTTCGTTGATCAAGTCCTATTTTCACGCATAAAAACTTTCCCACCGGCTGCCGAAGGGCGGGACAAGGATTTTAATAACGTCCGGGCGGCCAGGGAACGAACGGGTTAACTCGTTTAATGACCATAATCGTCCTGTTTTCGAAACACCGACCGTTCGTAGCCGGCTCACGAGCGGCAGTTGTCGGGGGGCGCGGAATAAAAGGTTTAATTGAAACCGACGAGTATGAGGCGTTCGATGAGAAACGAAACCGGTGCTACCCTTGCCGTTTCGTGTCACACCGCCTCGGTGACGGACTCGACGTAATTACCCGAGTTGCCAGAGGCACGTGGAACCCGGCCACTTCCGAGTCAGTGGAAGAATTACGATTCCAATATTTTTCATCAGTCGGCAAAGACGACCATTGCAATCGACCCTTGCACTTTCAACAATCAGACATTACTGCCAACGATAGTGATACATTTTTATTACAAATTCGATCTGAAGCTGATTTGCACGTTGATCAAACGAATTCGATTCTTCGAACGAGACGCCTCATTTGATTGCACGTTATTTGGAACGATCCATTGACTCTAATGATTGTTTATTATCCGATTCGAATTGATACATGAAAATCTGATATGCATTTAATGCGAAATTCGCTTCTCGAGAAGCTTTCCATCCATTATTGGGATTCTTTCACGGACTCACTGAACCAGAAGTGAATTTTGAGAGCAAAGAACAATGTGGTTGGTCGAATAATTTGGTAAAATGGTTTCTTGTTCGGTGGTTCCCGCAAATCGATGCGAAAACGTTTCGAGGGGTATTCTGTGTTTCGAGTATGTTTGCGTTCGCGTGGTCGTGCGGGTGCTTTGAACGCTCGGCAAGGCAACAAGGTGTTTAATTAAACACAGCCATGTTTGCCGTGCTCGTTGTATCTTGGACCGATCGATTGATCTTCTTTCACGGCCGACTTTGTGGAAAATTGATTTGTCGTCAGCGCGGCGACGCGACGGGCCGCAGATTTATTTAGAACGCATTGTGCGATCGCAACGTTTCACGGTTCCGAGGGAACTTCGCTCCGCTTCATTTTCGTTATTCCCCACCGTTGAACGTCATAGCGAATTTTATGCATGTGCTCGACTTTACGCCGGAAATAATTGAAAGGTCGCCGGCTTGTTTTGTCACAAAGGTAGAGCAAAAACGTTTACGCGACAGGATTGAACGAGATTACCAGAAAATTGTGTTCAATAAAATTTGATGAGCTGGTGTCTATTTCCCGTCACGTAAGCGTCTCGGAGATCCAATGAAACGAGTTACATACGAACGAAGAAAAACAGCCCCTCGATTTGATAGCTGTATCAAAATACACCGAGGAAAAACGTAATCGTGATTGACGATAAAAGAGCTGCGTCTCCTTAAACTTAGATAATAAATCCGGGCGCTGCGTCGCGAGATTGGAGCGTGCAATTACGGCATGGCTGCGGAGATACTTAAACGCGGAGCACTTTCGACGTTGATAAATCGTCCGCGCCTTGTAATATTCAAAGAGTTTCCCCGGTCCCGTTCGTAGTTCGAACGTTATACCTACCCCGCGCGACGCTTACCCATGCGTAATTTTCAATTCGCGCTTGTTCCATCAAAAGTTTCGACGCGCGCCGCTCGTGTTCCATTAATCCCGTTCGACTGTTCCGTGTCGATTATATGCGCGATACGTTCCATAGAAAATAACCAAGAGAATTATGAGCGATTATTAACGACGGCGAAATGAGCGAAAGGATTCGAAGTCGGATTAAGCGTCGAGGGGTTATAAAAAGAGGAAACGAGAGAAGTATGCTAATTGTGTTATCGAATCGGAGGAAATATTTGGTCCAAAGCCGGAATGATCTAATAACACTCGAATGACAGAAGCTTTTCTATGAAAAATTAACTCGTCGAGGGTATTTTTAATTCTACGCGCGCTACATTTCATCTCATGGAAGAACAAAAAGCGATACAGAGTTCCGCGATTAGCATCGGCGTTCTTCGGCGACGCATTGTTCCGGAGTGCAATTACGCGGTCTAATCTTGAACTCGGCTAATGTCGAAAATACGTAATCGCTTCGTTAAACCCGATATATCGTGGGACCACCGATCGAACTTCGTACGTGTCGGTCTTCCGCGTTGCCAACGAAACTTGTCAACGAAACTAGGCTTCCTGCATGAACGATGAAACATAATAACGAAGAGTTCTGTGGACTCCTGATCCGATTTATAGGTAGATTCTTGTGCGAAACAACACTTTTGCGGTATCAATTTAAACACGAATCATGAATCGAGCACTACGATGTTACACGCTTTTGACGCTCTAATGAATCTTCGAATACACACATAGACGTCGACGGCTTCACGAAGAAAAGTAATAAGCGTCTAACGACGAGTGTAGCAGACGCGGGTAAGCTCCTAAATTGTAACGGCCACAACGAGAGCAATTACAGCGATACTCTGTTTACGCGATATCGTTGCAAATACGGGTTACCGTTCGTTTTATTTAGATACTCGCTCGTGGAATCGAGAGACCGTGAAATTCGTCGGTTTAATCGAGAACCACGGTCACGCTTACCGGGGGCAGTTGATTTCAGATTCACGGAAATTACTAGTTTTCGTCGCGCAAAACTTTCGCAGGAACCTGTGAGCAGATTTTCGGAGAAAATAAGAAAGGATCCATGAGTCCTTTGGTCTCAAATGAATTGATATTGAAATCTCCGGGTATAAAACGTGCAGGATTCTTAAAACGAAATATTTCGTGGCCTTTGTACGAGTTTAAATATATGGGATGAAAGGATGGAGGCAAAATGTTTTTGCGAAAAACAGACGCGTTTTTCTTTTTGGATTTTCACTGAACCGACGGAGGATAGTGGGGGAGCACCGGGGGCGGATCACAATCGGCTTGACCGGCACAAAGCTTTCGGGCAAACTCGCGCGTAGAATTCGCGGGGGTAAAGCCCGATATTCCAAAGCAAACTGAACACTCAGCGGAACGAGCCTGCCGACGTAATCTCTTCCACCCTTTCAGACCGAAAGGAATCGCCCTTCTCCTCGCTCAGTTTTCAGGAAACTGCCTGTCCGGGGTGCCATTGTACCCTCTCAACTTTCGGTACACTGGCTGCCGGGACTCCGCCCGAGTCTAGCCTCTGTTTCCCGGCGCGAAAATTCGCTGACGTTCCCGAACTCTAATTAAACACCTCCACGGTTAACAGGAAATTATCCTTAACGAACCGCCATTGAAATTACATCCGGTGATTCCAGTCACCGACCGCGTGATCTCATCGATCAAACGCTTCATCATTTTTATTTCCGATGAATTGCTATTGAGCTCTGAATAAATAAAAACCTGGCGTTATTCGTTATTTAAAATCCTGTTACTCCTCTTTGTTGAAAGTCACAGTCGGCGACGTATCACAAGTTTGGAAAAAAAAATAACGCGAGACGAGGGGAGGAGATCTTCAGATGGCAATGCATCATTGACTTTGAAACGCGAAAAAGAGGGAGGCTGGAAAGTTCGCGGGGCCGCGCGAAGCCGATGAAGATGAAAAAATAAAGTGGGCCACGATACTCCATTAACCTGATTACTGTGTGTGCCACGAAAGTAACGACCCTTTCTATGCCCGCGGCTTCTAAATGTGGACACGGCCTACATTCCAGTTCATTTTTAGATAACGTTTTAAACAGGGATCGTCGACTGTGAAACAAAGTCTTGTTAGACGCGCGGAATTCTTCCCCCGTTGCCAGGCTGACAGAATCCGGTTCGGGCAACCGTTCTATCGATTTCAAACGGCGTCAACTGCCAAGTTAAATTCGGAAAATGACACGATACGAATCCAACGCGTTGAAACAGTAGTTCTTGATTTTGGAAGCGTGTAACTCGAAAACGACGAGGCGCACACTCTCATGTGGGACGAAAAATGTAGATACGGGATTTCCATTCGGTGAGCTAATACATTTCAATTTCGAGTCCCAATACGAATTTAATCAATTTCAGCCAGGAGTCCGATATGGCACGAACTTGCACGTTAACGATTTCGCGCGTGCGGTCGGTATCGGAATATTACGGGCACTATAAATTCACGCACAACACACGCCCCGTGCTGTGCAGCTTCGTCGAAAGTTAAGCCGTGTGTTACCAAGTGTAATCTCGCCGGCGAGTCTAATATCGAAGGGAACTGCGAAATTGAGTCACGACTTCGCCGAGACTCATGCCGTTCCCAAGACAGATTACTTTGATTATTAAAAGAAACAAGATTAGGCGACTCGATGTAAAATCGCGTAGAGGTCAAAAGTGATTTTACAAAAGAACGTCTAACGAGAAAAAAGCGCGTCGGATGCACGTCTCTAAATAATATTCATCCGGCAATTAAGGCATTTCCATTCTAATTCTCGAGCTTTATCATAAAGGAGTACGATTACGTAGGGACACGTATACATTATCCCAGGATCTCTGTATTCCTTAATCCCTGACTACACGACTCTAGCTCCCGGCGCTCGGCGAGGCGCATGCAATTCCTTTTATCCGCACGCTGACTTTCATTTGTGCTGCAATTAATTTTTTCCACCGGCAACTTCACCCCGGCTCCTGGAGATTAGCGTAATACGCGCGTATTCGGGATTCCGTTTGCAGCTAATGTATAACTTTGGCGGCCCATTGAAAGTTAATACGGCATCTCTCGTCATTGACCAACATCTCTTTTTCACGGCTTGGTAAACGTGACCTCTCGCGTTGCTTCGAATATTTGTCGAACTAAGTCGTTTGATTCACGAAAACGATCCACGTTTCCACATCAACGAAGTTTAGTTCCTACTTCGAGTTCAAGATCACATTTAAGATGTGACAAGCAAAATTGTAAAAGACTCACCAGGCAGACTGCGTAGGTATAGACGGGAGCGCGCCGGGTGGCAGGGACCTCCTGATGGCTTGACAACAGGACCTCCCGCTTCCAGACGCCTCGTTGCAGCACGACGGTGGATTGGTGCACACGTGGCGAACGCCGGAGCCGGTGGTCGGGAACTCCACCGCGGAGACGCGTACCTTCGGCCGGAGCGACGGCGACATTGAGAAGCTGTCCCTTTGGTTGGACGCGGAGCTGCTGGAGCTGCTCGAGCCGGGGCTACCGCCGAGCCTTCCAGGCGACGCGTACGCGAAACCGCGGAGTCGGAAGTGGGACTGATGGTACGGATAGCCGGCCGGCGGCGGTAGCCGATAATGATGATGGAACCCAAGGTCTCTCCTCATGTACGGATCGGCCGGATCGTTGGTTGGCACGTAACGATCCGTGGGCGTATGAGCGGAAGGCGGCACGTACCTATCCACGTATCTGTCTGGGTAGAGGACCTCCGGAGGCGGCTGAGGCACGTACCTCTCGACAGGGGTGTGCGCGGTCGGTGGTACGTAACTTCCGGTCGCGCTCGCCGAGCCGTAAGTGCGATCGGTCGAGGTGACGGCGACCGAAGTGCCACAGGAGGACGAGATCGGTGTTATGCGACCGGTATATCGATCCTTGGGCTTCGGCAGCGACAGATACTTGTCCGCGGCGCGTACCGGAGAGTATCGATCAGTAGCCGAATGAAAACGATCGGGAGTAGTTGTCGCAGAAGAGAATCGATCCGCGCCATTACCGGAGAACCGGTCGTAGCTTCGATCCTGCCCGAGTCTGTCGAACTGATCGCTCCCGGGATTATACCGATCGTTCGCGTAGCTCTGCACAGACTTGGACACCTGGAGATATTTGTCCACGCTGGTCTTCGTCGCGGTCTGATAGCCGGGACAGGCCACGTTCGTCCCGGTCGTTCCCGATCTAAGGTTCGTCGAGCTCGCCTCGGGAGTCGGCGAGACGGAGGTGAAACGATCGCTGGACGTCGCGGACTGCGTGGCCGTCGTGTTCGTGTACGAGGAGTGATAGCGGGCGACAGTGTCGGTCGACGAGGAGGACGAGGACGATGTCGCGGACAGCAGCCGCTCCGTCGACGATCCCGAGACGACGTATCTGGACGCGTCGCCGTTGGCCATCCTGCCGTCGTGTCCCGGCGACGAGCTCGCGAGGTAGCGATCGGTAGACACGCAGAATCTATCGTTGCCCCGAGACTGACCGCAACGCTGTATCGCGAGCTCGTTGAAACGATCGGCGGTCCCGACATATCTGGACTGAGTATTGCCCACCTCTTGGAAGCTCGAGTATCTGTTGAAGTCCGTAGGCGCCGGCGATCCGGCGGGTCGATCGCCGTACTTCTGGCAGACCGTCTCGACACCGCGATCGGTGTACAGACGTCTCTGTTCACCGCTGGACGACGCTTGCAGAGACCTCTCCGTCGACGAGTATCTTTGATGAGACGAGGCCTCGGGATTCGGTGAGTTCGAGAGAAACCTTTCGGCGCTCGACGAGAGCGTCGAGTAACGTTCGTGATGCACGGACGCCGTTTCCTGTCGATGGTATCGTTCGTGGACCGGCGAGCCGCCGAGGTACCGTTCCGTCGACTTGCTCGCGAACCTCTCTGGCACCGGGGCGTGTATAGGCGACGAGGAGAGCAGCCTGTCCGTGGACATGGCTCCGTACCTCGATCCGGCAGCGGAATCCTTGCCGGCGGAGTATAATCCGTTCCTGTCGCTTTGTAGACCGGCCTGTAGGCTTCCCAGCACCGGTGACGAGCCGGACAACAGGCGATCGCTGGCTCCAGCGTATCGTTGCTGATCCTTGGACTCGTGCACGGAGCCCGCCGATGGCTGCTGATTGGCCAGTAATCGTTCCGCCGAGGAGAATCGCTCCTTAGCTGGCATCGGTGAGGCTGGTGCCGTGCCACCGCCATATCTGGCGCTTGGAGAACCTGGGGGCAGAATCCGATCACCAGCAGGATAACCAGCCAGACTCTGGGTCGAGGAGTACTTCTCGCTTGGGCTGGGCGACAGTGGCGGCGGTGGCACGAACCGATCGTTCGCTGGTGCCGGCGACGGCGGTGAGGGGAACGTCTCGGACGAGAACGGGCTGGTCGCGCAGCCGGACACCAGTATGTTCGTGTTCGCGTATTCGTTTCCGGTGGACACCAGCTCGCTAGCCGGACGATGGAAGCGAAGCTCGGGGCCGTTACCCGGCTGAAAGCGTTCGCTCGGGGCCAAGGACAGTCGTTGCTCACCGTGGAGACCGGCGAGCTCGTTGAACCGTGGAAAACGCTCGGCCAGAACAACGTTCTGCGACAGTGTCTGACCGGACGCGCTCGCTCTGCCAGCGCCGTATTGGTGGTGCGTTTGCAGAACGGCGGACTGACCGAATCGTTCCTGGTTCTGGTAGTGTACTCCACCGTATCGGTCGCATCCGGACTGTATGGAACGCGTTTCCGCGCAGGACTTGGGGAAATCGTCGAGCGTCGGCTTGTCCGTCGACTTGTCGTGCCTCTCAATGCCGCACATTCGTTCCCGGCCGCCATAATCGACGTGCTCGCTCCCACCTTGTGCGGACTGCTCGGACTTGTAACGATCTTGCTGGCTAGCGGCAACGTTCGATCCGCTCGTTCCTCGTAGATCGCCCGTTTGCTGGTTCGCCTGTCGCTGCGACGGTTTGTAACACTCCGTGGAGTTGGTGGACTCGATCTGGGACCCGACGCTTCCTGACGTTCCGCCGTTTGGCCCTGGAACCGGAGATGACGAGGACCCGTACTGAGTGATCGGATGTTGGTGCAGTAGGAGACGTTCTCTTCGGCCATAGTCGTCGTCTGTCGGCATCCTGGTGGCCCGGGGCCCGCTGTCAGGACATCTGAAACGTTTGCATCGACCCATCACATGACCGTTCGCATCGCTCGCAGATAAACAGAATCTATTCAATGTACTTTGTGATCGCACGAAACAAATGTTACGTGTTACGTTCTTCATTCCCGTGGCGAGATTCGATTCGACCGTCAATCGTGAAAATTACCGAATCCCGTGTCCTTCTTCGCCGTCTGGACGGTAAAACATAACGTACGTACGTACACGTCGAAACATCGTCGGGAGCACGGGACCGGGGCACGAACCGCTCGTGTTACGTGACGTTAAAACGCGGCCCATATAATCGATCGCAAATTAATTGGGGCCACGCTCGCTCGCGTTTCGCCCTGGCCCGACGTGTCCGAACGAGTGACGCGTGCGGTCGTTCGTAACCGCCGGCGAGCCTGCAGCGAATTGCCGCGAAATACAACGATTTCATCGATCACCGCTTAAATCCCCCAAAGAGCATTGAACACCGTCCGAGTGCCGTCCGGCCCATCAAATTTTTAGTACGCCCCGGGAACCCGAAATTCACGGTCTCGTTCGTCCCACCTTTTTTCAATTTCATGACGACTGATCTCCTTTGTGTTCGGTCAAATAGCAGCGTCGTGAAATCTGATAGGAAGCGTCGAACTGCGAGTAGAAACTGTCGGCGAGTGGTCAGACGTCGACCAGGGCGTACGACAGTTCTCATTCTATTAAGAAAACGAATAGGTTTTTCGAGTCACTCGATTATCCTTAGATTGGCCGATCGATCTCTCGAACGCGACTTAGTTAGGGAACGATTAGGAAACTGTTAATTGAACATTGATCCAAGCTCTTAGCTGGTGCAAAATAATTTTTCTTAAATCGCCGGGAAGCGAAGCTACCGAATCGACGGTTTCATTGGTAATTCGATCACGCTCGAGTGGTACGAGGCGAAAGCAGAGAAAGCAAAGAAAGGTAGAACCTGTGTCACAATCAATCGTGTAATTGACCAGACGTTTCTCTCGGAAGATGACGGCGTGGTTCAAGTACCTGCTTCGTTTCTATTATTTGTAAATATACCTTCTGCGCGTCCATCGAATTCACCCTCGAATGCGACACGAGACGTTTAAAGAGTCAATGGACCGATCGTAGCAAACATTCGATCGTCAAAATTGAACGGCGACATATCGTAGGACGGGTATCGTTGATACAGAGATAGAAACGTTTCCGGGTTCTGCAATGCGTCTATCAGAGGGGAGGACGTAAAAACTTTGCGGAACGTGAAAATGGCACGCGTTGGCGGTAACGCGGAGATAAAACGCAGCTGGCGTTCCGCAGGGAAGCCGAACAATTCACGAGCCAGCTATGTATATCCCTTTTTACATTTCCGCAGATCGTGGGTATCGGGGGAAAAGAACACGTTCGGAATCTTTTTAATTTTCTCCTTGTCAGAAAGGAAGAAATACCGTCTAGCGCAATTGCGAAGGAAATTAGTTTAGAGAAGAAAAAAAGAAGAAAAAATAACGGCTCTCTTTGTAAATTAAATTTGTGTACCGAATCATTGTGCCTCTTGCTCAACGCCACCGCTAACGAATCCAGTCGCAATTGCGACGTTCATACGTTAACTTAAGCGCGTGAGAATTAATTAGAGTGACGTCTTTCGTCGACGAAGGACGAGGAAAGCTTCCAGCGTGAAGCTGACCGAATGGCCGTGTTTCACGTGCCTCGCCGTTTCTTTCCTTACGCGAAGAACCGGCGAGGAAACTCGACGACGGTGGACAACGCTCCAGGCAGTTTTTGCAATTAGCGAGTTCAGCATGTTCCTTCTCATTCTTCCACCGTTCTGTCGCGCGCCACCCACTCCCGTCATTCTCGATCGCTTTCCAGCCTGATTCTTCCTTTTCCAGCAGCCACGCAGCTGGAAACGCTCATAGCGAGCATGTTCACGAATCGAACATTATTACCCGACGATTCTGCCGTTCAGTTTCCGACTGGGTGCCACGCAGTTACGCGAAAACATTCGAATCCATTGTCGAGCAATTCTTTTCGTTCGTCGTCGATCAGTTGAATGGAGTGGATAAAAATTCGAAGGAATCGAATTGGAACTAATTAAAACGAATAGAGTCGATTTTTTTCTGAGGTAACTGCAAAACCGTGCAGTGATCAAATTCTAAAGTCGTTTATGCTTCCTCTGCAGATTTACGAGAGAAAAAGGTCTGACGATCTCTTCGCCATTAAATCGAATCGTTGTACAAAAATCGTTAGTCTAATTCGAAACGAATCACGTAGAGGATCGCGAAGTCATCGCTTCGGTTGTCATTGGCCACGATTCGAAAAGGAATTGGCTCTTGGAATTGAATCTAGATCGACGTCGATTCGATCCAGTAATCGGATCGTCGGAGCATCATTTCACCATGGGGATGGGAACCGGTCAGACCGGAGGGACGGTCAGATCTGCGACCTGCGGTCAGCCGCTCTGCCCCGTCTTCAGGATCGTCTCGTTTGCCAGCCGAAATATCATCGTTCGACGATGGTGCGTCGAGCCGCACACACCATCCATTTCACGAACGTCGAGAAATGACATATTCTCAGGTTCCCATTGGGAGCGGGGTCACACGAGGCGACACACGCGACACATGTCACGTGCACGTACGCGCGTCAACTGAGGCGTCAACTGCCGGATAAAACCATTTGTCAAATCTCTCCTCCTCCTTCGAAAGCTCGGCCGTGGATATTCGAGTCGAACCCGGGATTCCGTGAATTTCTTCCGTAAATCTTCGACATTATCCAACGGGAACGAGGGAAAACATGCCCCTGTCCCCGTTGGATGCGAGCGTTCCTCGGATATTTGCGACAGGAATGCGAACTGGTCGTACGAGCTTGATCGAATGACGGGGGAGTTTATGCTCGAATCAAATTTCTTTTACGTGAGTACATTCCTCAAATCCGTTGACCTCAAATTACTTTCAATATGGATATAAAAGTTTGATGCATTCATTCTCGACGACTAGCTCAAATCTCTGAATCTAACATCTTCACGTTTGGGGAGTACACTGTATCGTTCGTAACGTAGAATGCACTGAAAAGGGATTTTCTCCGATCATATACAAATATCGCCTAAAGACGCACTAGTTACCTTGCCAAACGTACGTCCTACGACCTACGGAGACTCTACGTACCGGTTACGTCGACGTTATGTTAGTGTAGATAGACCTTAAAAGGGTGAAGAGACGCAATATTCTTCCACATGTTCGACGCGACGTGCTGATCTTTATCAGAGATAATCGAGATCTTGTACATAATTGTTTCTATAAACTCATCACCCGACGTTAAAATTACATTTTATCTGACGCTATTTACAATAGTATGACGATCTAACAATTGCGTTCCAATCTGTAAATGCAATTTGGATTCAAGTAACCGTACAAGATTATGGAAGAATCGCCAGGGGATAAGAAGCACTTTGTACACGAACGTTGTACTCTTTCGTCTGCGATAAGAGCCCGCTAGGAAATTTGCCACCGCGCTATGTCCCCGCTTCCTCCGGGCAAGTCGTTCCTTCGATGAAAAGAAGCCACAGGGAACGGACGAGCAGAAAAACATGCAAATTTTCCGGGTAACCGCGTTGCGTCGGCGAAAATAACGGGCGAACGAGCAGGACTCGGTTTCATTTCGCATCTGAGTCCCGGTAAGAATCGTCGTTACGCGTCGCAGTTTTCTTGCCAACGACCCGACGTAACTTTTCTTAATCATTTTTTACGACCGCACCGTCGACTGTTGCGGTGAAAACGAGGTTGCCGGGGTCATTAAGCGATTTCGAGATCCGCAACGTTGACAGGCGATCGTTCGCTTCTCATAAAAACCGATAAAAATTCTGTGACAAACGATGATCGTGTAGAATCAATTTAGGCTGGTAACGACGAACCGATGATCGTCGCTGGATGGATGAAAAACGTCGAGAGACGACGACGATCGGAAAAGAGAATGAGCGTCTCTGTTCGAATAGAAATGCTTTGACGATTTTGGCCGCTGCTCGGGAACCGATCCACTCGACACGGTCGATTGCGAATTAATTAAACTGCACGCGCGGAACGGAGACCCGAGCGAGTCAAAACACGTGTAACTCAAGTATTATCCAATAACGAGAGGTGAACGTTGGCCCGTGAAACGTATTCGGCCGGGAGTGAATCCGTCGTCGATTGTCGTTCGACAATCGGACACGAATTAAGTACCCCCCCGGACACCCCGCTGTTTAAACGTTTAATGGTTTTAACATATGTAGCAAATCCCTTGTCCTGGAAAGTATGGGCGTAATCACTATTGACACCGTTGCAACGACCCAAACGCGATTTGCGCCGTTCGAATCGCGGTTGACTTTAATCGATACCAAATCCTTTCCACCGTGTTAAGGTGTTAGCATTAGTTCTGCAATAATCAGATTAAACGCGTTCGTCGAATTTCCATGAACGCAGCATTGACAGCGTCCCGTGTGCTATCATTTTAATTAATATCAGCATCAATTAATCATTCATAAATTCATGTACCAATTTCATTTTATAATTACAACAAAGTCAGTTTCATTCATGCGGATGCCTGACTTTAACAAGAGATCATGTCACACGGAATATTGTCTCTCCCGATGGGTGAAGTCGCTCGAAGACAGGAGGAAATTACGGTAAATGACGAGGATCTACTTCTCACAGCAGGATCAGATTCGATCGTAAAGGGGCCGACCTCTCCTCGAACTCGTTACCTCGCGACAAAACCGAGGAAAAAGAATCGATACTCATGTGCCAATAACCGCAACTACGACGACGTCGCCCCGTAATTTGCCGCCTCTTATTTCCGGCCTCATTAACCGCGCGAGGGAAATATCGTCGACGGAGATTTTCCGAAAATTGAACCGACGCGACGCCTAACAGAACGAACGCCGGCGCACACGGTTACGCGTAGTGGCGTTCACCTTCCCATCCCCTTGTCTACCGTCGCAGCCGCAGACTGCAACGCTCGGAACTGATGTTTGCCGACGAAATTAGTTGGCGA